CCCAGTTGACCAAAATAACATGTCAGCTGATTCTGATGATACATATGTAAAATCCGCCGACCAATCGACCACCCAGTTGCCCAACCAGTCGATAAACAAGAACCATATGGTGCTCTAAAGAGAACATCGCCAAGTCCACATAACAAGAGCATTGAGATAAATTGCACTGTTCATGTAACCAAGGCTCGAAAGCTTACAATATGGGCGAAAGTTACTCAATCCTGCACTGGAATTGAGAGAAAAACTTTGAGTAGTAGCTATTAGACACTGATTATACAGCCTTACTGACTGCATCCATTAAAATAATAGTTCAATTCAATTACGTTGTTCAACTGATACTTTGTTCTTTGATCGTGGTTGTAATTGGTGTTTGAAAGCTAGCTTGAGAAAAAAGTTCGTATAGGTAGATGTTTTTTTTTTGTAATGACTGGGAAATTGGAAAACGTATCGGTTTTGTGATAGGTAGATCATTGATATTCTTTTACTTAAAAGTAAAGCGGAAGAGAAAAGCTAGAAACATGGATGAAAATTAGGGAATAGTGTTTCTTCATCAGTTTGTCCTAGCGTCAAACTGTTGACCCTATTACCACATAAAAAAAATTAAGTTCTAGTAATACCACTGATTCTAAAATTAGCCCCTTGTTTAGTAAAAGTCTTACTGAATTATCTGCCGTCGGCGGTATTTCCGAACCGATTTGACCTTCAAACCTTCAAGAAAAGAGCGTATTCCTATTTAAAAGGCCGGCAACGCACTTGTGTGCCTCCTCTGGTGTTGCGGGTGCCCATGGGCGGTGCTGATCGCTTACCATCAAGTGATACATCTCCTCGTTTGCCTCCTATTCCATAAAAAAGTCTTACTTATTACAACTAAAGAGTAATAACCACCTCTACTCATAATTTTAGGTCAAAACATACCCAATATTAAAATAAACAGTAAGTTCCCAACCAGTTATTGGAAACTACCACCAACATTATATCCTTCCACCGCAACATCTCCGGTAGTGGTCACACTAATACCACATTACACAACACAGCCAGGCCGTTACATCAATGACGTCACACTTGCTCAACCCGTGCCCATGCGCACGTGCAAATTATTGCAGAATTACACCTTTCAACCGTTATTTTCAAATGTTTATTTTTTTCAGTGATATTGATATTAATTTTAGTTGGATATCAGGGAATACCTATTTTTTTCTATATTAATTTGTAGATATTATTTACCGAAGATTTGATATTTTAGAAGCTGCTTGTTTTAAACTTAATTAATTAGTGCTACTTTGTTCTATAAAGTATTTTGTCAAACATCGGTAACATCCATGTTGGAATTTGGAATAGATCTAGAGGCCGTATGGCAATACCTACAATATTAAATATCCGATATCTCAGTATTAGTAATCGCGTTTGTAACTGATTAATGAGGTATATAGTTACTCAACTGGTACATAAATAAATTCTATGTGTAACTGAGCCTACAATTAATCAATCTTGTGTCACACCGGGAAATACTTACCAGCCAGTTTGATTTCAAACGAACCTCGAAGAATTGTCGCCACAGCCATTCCTGGCAGTTATGTTCCAACGTTCCTTTTTTGAATTTTCAAACATGTGGGTTATTCTGCAATGGTTTTGTAACAGCTAACAGCACAATGACATACAAGGAGTTGGTATAACCTCTTTTTGTAACACACATGAATTAATTACCATAGGATTTTATTATGTACTTAAATTATAAAATTTCTAATGAAATATCCTGGAATCTGATCTTAGTATCTCGTTGGTGTAGTAGGTGTAAGCGTGACTGTTGAATAAGGAGTCGGACGAGGTAAACCGAAAATTCTAAGAAAAACGAATATACATCAGTAGGAAGATGTGATTATAGTCTGTGTAGAACGTGAAGTTGTCAAATTATATTTTTTGAGGAAATATTCAATCATGACTATGAGTATGTGAAATCGTGAAAATCTTATTAGATACTTGTGTTAACTCATGTTTGCACGTTGTCATTTTACAATTTACACGAAATTAATGTTTACAAACAGTAACATAACATTGTTAGTATTAGTGAATAAATTCACTGGAGAGGAAGGCAGGGAATCACATATTTAACATATCATTATCTACTATCAACCAGTTATGACTTGGTCCTTTCAGCTACTAACAACTAGAAACTACTGCAAAGTAAAAGTTAAGTTCATTACGCCGTCACCATTCGATATTGGCTGTATAGTCGACGACACGAAAAAAATATATAATGTTTTTTTTTCAAGATTCTTACAAGAGAAGGTATAAAGGATACTTACAGTTATTAATGTATTAAGTACTGTCATGATCGTGATTAAAATGCAAATAATTGGAAGTTGATGTTTACCGCACGTTACTGCGCGTGCGCCGCTGCCTGACACAACAGGATGTTTGGAAATTATCACATTAGTGTATACTTACACGGTTTCTATTGGAACATCCTAGAAGGATGATTAAAGAGATTTTGATAACATCCGTTAATTGAGTTAATATATTATTTAGTAAGAGAATAAAATCATTAGTTACTACACTCCCTTATTCATTAGACTTATTGCAAAATTGAATGTTACACTTTTCCTCTATGAGAAGTCCTTTCCCCTCGCCGGACAACATGTAAAAGATCTCATTTAAAGTCAAAAAACGACGTTGTGACGCGAGAACTAAAGAGTGAACGTGATACAAATATTGATAGGTTACAATTTACACACGAATCTTGTATCAATACATTATCGTGCAGCTAATTACATTAGCGCAGGTTCGATCACGACTGAGTACTTATTGCTAATCATCGCAGCCATCATTTAGCGATAGATATCTATATGTTCACACGATCTCTACTGCTGTTGGTTTACTTACAATTCACACACAAATGTAGGTACATTTACACACTTGTATCATCATTATTTAGCTAATAGATTTGATAGAAGTTGGAAATGTGCCTATCAGGACTAGCTTTTACCCATGGTTTCGAACGCGTTCGATTCCTAGTTTTTATTTATACGTATAAACCTTCCTCTTGAATCACATTATCTTATTAAAAAATCCCATCAAAATCTGCTACGTAGTTTTTTCTTATATTAGATAGGACTGAAGTTTGACCACCGTCTCGCCTGGTGGTAAGCGATGATGCGGTCTACGATGGAGCACGTCGACCCATAAGCAACCTATTCACTCAGGCCTTGAGGACACCCAGGTTATATCCTTCAGGAAATACAGACTCTGGCAAAGAATTCCGCTCCTTAGCAGTATGTACAAGGAAGCTTGATGCGAAGAGCTTCGTGCGTGTGGGTGGGACATCTACCATGAATCGTTTATTTTAAAAGTTTATTTTAAACATCTAAGCATATAGATACACAGACGGCAAAGAGTGGCTTTGTTATAATTAACTATATTATATAGTGGTAGTGAAGAGGAAGGCGCTTTTTGCTAGTTATGATAGTTATGAATCCCATGTAATAGGAGACGACTCTGCCAAAAGTAGGTAGGTGCAGAGAAAAAATCTTATAGCCAGCACCAAATGGTCCCTCTCAATAGACGGGCAACAAAAATGCAATAAAACATAACTCACTCAGTGTTTCAAAAATAAAACGTAATATCAATCAATCATAGGTACCAATAGAAAATACATTTCAGAGTTAGTACACGAATATTTTTCACATTTTTCTTAACAACATTTTCTCGAAGAAACGTGTGGGTTTTATGATCGGTATTTTATTAACAAAATACGCACATGGATGCTATTTATAAAACCTGCATTTTGTTACTAGCAGCTAAATCTAGAAATAAACATTTAGTGAGCATAGCTAGCTATATGTTGTACATCTCTAAAAACTGTTCGAGCTTGTGCACTGTGGAAGATAAAAATAACATCTAATACAATCACCATTTATATCTCAGAAGAAATAAATAGAGTCCACCAGTTCTATAATCAGTTTCGTATGCGAAATGCATGTCGTCGTATATCGGGTACAACTAGGCTTAGTCGCTATTCTTTAATCAAATCTAATTTATACTTAACACGTCGTAGAAACAACGAGACAGATAAAATAAAGACTAGTTTTGATTACATACATATAAGTAGGTAACATAAAATTTAAAAGATATTCTCAGCATCATTTCCAAGACGTAAAGACCCAAGTTCCGTATGCGTGTCGTACACTTTTCCCTGTTTCTCAATTTCCTAAGATTCAAGCATAGATAGTACTCCTCTATTTAGTATTTCCCAAGCACCAGCTAACAATAGAGGAAAGCTCGTAAATCTCAACGTTTTGCGACTTTTTACTGACTTCCCTGTTGTTGAGTAAGCTGATTTCTCAATTGTAGGCTTGGAATTACTCACTTTAATATATATTAGGAACTAGATTCTGCCAGCGGCTTCGCCCGCTTTCTTATGTGTAAAAAGCCTATGAGTTACTAAAGATCAGAGAGACAGACAGACAAAAAATTTACTGATTGCATTTTTGGCATTAGTATCGATCACTAATCACTCCCTGATAATCTTAATATAAGTATAGATATCCTAATGTAACTTAGTACGTAGCGCTTAATAACACAATACACCTTTTTATTTCGATGATGGAGGGAGAAAGGACGACTCAAAGAGGCGCTTAGCTTTTTGAAGAGAAGGACTTTTATTTAAGGGGGGAAAATTATCGAATGATTTCTTCCGCCTGGGTGAGGCGGGAGGGAGTGTCAGACTCTTACTGACTAAAAACCACCCAGTTCCTTCTCCTGCACGTCGAGCCGGAGCTCCGGTAACCCGTTAGGTTCTCCGCGACAAGAGAAAGACTTGTGTGAGAGTGGGATCCTCAACTAACTAAAACCTCCTCGGTAGTCTCATCATCCAAATAATAAGAGCTCTTTTAACAAGGGTTAAATGTCTCCTAACCAAACAAACTCGCAATTCAATTTAATAGCAAAAAGGTTTTACGAAAACCTTCCTATTTTAAAATAAAACGGTGAGATAAAGTAATAAAATGAACGCTAAAGGTAAACCTCCTTTTAGCTCCGAGTCCCGTAATGAGCGACTGTAAAGTGTGACTTATAAGGGTCCTAATTTTATCCCGTAAAGTAAAGTAGTACTTATGTATAATGTGTATAATGACTTTCAACTAATTACAACACGAATTGAACAATTTTTGATTCGATTTTGGGAGTATAAGTCTAATTAAATATTTGAAATTATTCGAGCAACAAATGAAAAAATCTATATTTTATATTTTTGTCTCACAACAATCCTTGCTTAATCAAAAATCTTCCAAAGAATATTTTGTCAGCCGGTTCTATGACGTCATTTACCCTTCTGTAGTGTTTAAAAACATCTAAAATCCTTCCACATGTTCGAAGTGACGTCAGCATTGGACTACATGTCACGGAGACCACGTTAATAAATGTATACGTATTTCAATCACTTCTCTACAATCTCACTCGTTCACCTCGAAACGTTTCGATCGACAGATCATTATAATAACAGATTAAGATTATGTACTCTGATCACAATGTGCATGTGGGCGACCATATTATCGTCTACCAGCTGATTAGATGTTATCACTTACCATGTAAATTATTTGAGGAAGCAGTGTAGTTTCTTATGTTCTTTTGGTACTTATCTGTTCAAATCTTTTCCTAAGTCAAATGCATCACTCTGCTGGGTGATCTAAACTTGATTTTCTTGTTTGTAACATATATATCGATACCTGCTAAACCGGTACACAACAAATTTTAATAAAATATCGTTGGATACAGGATACAGTCTATTTATAATTGATACAAAGATACAAAATGTGTTATAATATAGGTAATATGAGAATGAAACTATAATGAGATTTCGTTTGTTCCAGGTGAGAGCTGTGTCGAGAAGCCACTGGCGACATTGTGGCGCAACTACCAGCAGTCGACTAAACCAGACGTAGTGATGAAGTTATCTGTCACTAACTCCGGCCTGAAGGGATTTACCAAAGAGCATGGACTTACTGAATACTGGTCCCACCGCATCACTTACTGTGCCAGCCCACCGCACTACCCCAAACTCTTCTGCTGGGTGTATCGACACGAAGGCAAGAAGCTCAAGCACGAGCTTCGCTGCCACGCCGTCCTTTGTACCAAAGAATCAATATCAAAGAAGATTACAGAGGAACTTCAAATCAAACTGAAGCAAGCCTTAAGTGAGTTCAAAAAGGACAGAATCTCAAAACAAAATGCACGACTTAGTCTCGCTAACAGTGTATACGAAAACCCGAGTATGCCTCGCAGAAAGATCTTACTAAGCGTCGGAGCTATGAACTACAGACCACCGCTAGAGAGGTCAAAATCTGCTCCGAAATTGGGAGCTATTGAGGAACTTTGTTCAGAAGAAGATGAAGAGGAAGCGGAGATGAATGCTAAGCAGAATGGCGAGCCCTGGTCACGAACGGCTTTAGCGATGGACACCTTTTATTCCTCGCAAACGCTCGATAGACGACGACCTGATATAAAGTCGCCAAGGAAGACATCATGTCCCGAAGGAGTCATAAACCGAACGTTGTCTGACTCTGGAAGCGACACCGTCACAGTCTCCGACGAATTCCTCGAATTATTGGCAAAGGAGAGCCAAAAGAATGGACGTATCGATGATACTAGTCATAATGATGGAGAAAAGGAAACAAGATTGCTAGAAGCGATTGCCGAATCGAACGAACTGAGTGATAACGTGGTGACCGAGGGCGATTGTAAGGCGCTCATGCAAAGTAACTACCTCGTCACGGATAGCGACGACGGATCTGTTTCTTCGGGCTGCGAGACCGCCAGCACGGTCACTGACACCGAGCCGTCATCCCTGCCTTCGTTCCCCCAGGAAGACCAGAAGGAGCATGCTGACAACACCATCTCTTACTTGGACCAGAACTTCACACATAACGATATCAGGAGTAGCAATAGAAGCTACAACTCTGTTCACATAATGAACAACCCTGACTCTAACGTCGTTGAAGAGGTAAATCATGTCCCCATCGGTGAGAAGAATACCTTCAGGCGAAGATCCACGTATCCTCCTCTGCGAGCGGATACGAATATTATGGCAGACTTCGAAGGAAAGTTTGAGTCTCTCATAGACAACCTGACTGATGTAGACAGCTTAAACTCCAGCACAGAAACTGAAGTGTTTAAGAATACTGGGGACAATGACAGCGCGTGCAGTGATGAGTCAGGGTACTCGGAGCTGTTGGATGGCAAAGAAAGTATAATAGGCAACACTATCATGGTCTAAGTTTCCCATATGTTAGCTGCCCCTTTCTGAGTGTTTGTTTTTCATAGAAATGTCCCAAGGACGATAGCGCTCCCCTGATCTCTAGTGGGGCAGCAGCCATGTTGAGAACTGTCGAATTATTTGAGTGTAGATTTAGAAATTTAAATTTATACGGTCTGGCAAAAACAATGCACGTAGTTAAATATTATTGTGAATCCTTTACTAAGATATAACTTATAATAATGTAATGTTACAGAGGTTATGTTGGGTTATTTCGACGAATTTTAAGTAATTATTTAGTCCAGCCAGCGTCCTGATAGATTAGTAGTCGCCGGTGTATAGTCTGTCGTGTGTTAGTTCAGCACCATTTTCTTTGTAAATAACAGGGTACAAGAGTACTTCATACAGTTGTCGTATTATTATGTTTAAATGTTTGTATATATTGTAATTTTAGTTCATGCATTAGATGAAATTTTTCGGAGATTTTATTTGTAAAAGAGTTATAATATAGTTAGGCACTTTATGGATGCAAACATCTGTTTTGTTTTTGTCTATATTTATTGTTAATAGTAAGTATACCTGCTGAGGTGGCTGTAGGCGGCAGGTTGTGGGTGCGAGTACATAAATATGTGAAATTATGTATTAGTGCAGTGCGTGGGGTTCTAGGACGATTAAGTACATAGTACTATATTGTTTGTAACGAGTGTTGTCCTTCGTCGATATTGTGGCTTATTCGTTTGTGACTGATATCTCCTAGATCGACACAATGTCTCGTATCACAATAACTTTGTGAAGTAGCATTACTTGCATTGAAGATGTAAAAGTGTAGAAAAATTTAATTATGTTACTCCTTAGAATTTTCATACACATTTCTCGTAAAATATAGAATGTGAATATTTCATGTCCTGTGATGTGTAACTATGTCTGCTTCACGTTGTAGTGGTAAGACAGTAAGACAGTATGGTCCCTGTTCACCCACATCCCGTGTGTACTTACGCATTCCATCAGCACGTGTACTAGGTCGCCACGACACCGTCATCGTCATCCTAATCATAATTGTAGCGGAAGATAATAATTTTTCGATGAAAAATAAATAATTTAAACGTTATTTCTTGTTTTATTTTTTCCTTACAAATTGGTACAATAATTTGGAAGAGAGCAAAGAAGAATAGAGCTGCTGATTGCGCAGAAATTAAAATGAATAGAAAGGTCACCGTCAACCCAACGATTAATCTAAACCAAGATAGTGTCATTATCTCATCTGATTGCACGGCGGCTGAGCCACCGGCTGCGGCGTAATGTGAAACGGGTTCGATTCCTTCACGGAGCAACTATTTGAGTGATTCACAAATTCTTGTTGGTGAACTTATAGGGTGTAACTGTAAACGCACCCACGACACAGGAGAAAATACTAATGTGAGTCAATGTTTAAAAAGCTTTGTTTTAAAGTTTCATGTGTTACAGTTAATTTTGCACAATCCATCTTAACTTACGGAGTGTGTCGCCTTCTCAACAAGCCAGTTATGTAGTACTCTCATTATAGAGACAACTCTATTCATATTTACAAATAATAGGTACCATTACCGACAAATTCCATTACTGAGGGTTTTGTAAATCGCTAATCCAACATAGTAATAAAATTAATTAATGAATACCAGTTCAGTGTTCGAGTATATTGGAATGGTGTCTATATGATAAGGTAACATATAGCTAGAGGGCTTGTCCAATGCCATTATTCTATTTACCTTACTTCTACAAAAAGTCGTGTCATATTTATTTCATGTTAAAAATCATAATTGAATAGATATTCTGTACGTAAAAAGTTATAACGTTATTAGTGCTTACGAATATACATTTAGTTACATAATATTTCTTCCTTTATAAAGCCACGAGTTTACTAATTATCTTGGTGTTACGGAGTATAGTACAAATGGATTGTCAAAGGCGCCTACAGTCGTCAGTTTACGTTAGTGCTATGCGTAAACTATCAGGCGCAACTAGACTTTAAAATAGTATAGTTTCTTATATCCTTTCAAGAAAACTTTTACTTGCCGGACAAGGCGTCTTAGATTCAATTCCCGGGACGGGCAAAGTATAACTGTTTTTTTTTAAATTGTCAGTTAAATTGTCAGTAAAATTGTTAGTAAAAATTGTCTGTCTGTAATTAGGCCCAGTATATGGCAATAGGCTCACCCCCTATTACATGGGACTCATAACATAAATAGTGAAAAGTGGGTGTTACATCGTACAGTGGCGTTATGTACTGTAATGTGCGCCTCTGCTTAACCCTTTGGGGATAAAAGACGTGATGTTATGAAGATAGTTTTGCACTTCCAGATTTATCGTTGAAAAGTAGGTACTAATTTCTTTTAATGTTTGTTTCTCCATATCTTACTTACTTCATGACAACCGCGTATATCTCGCTTGCTATTAGCAGCGGTGCGCTGCGTGAAAGCGGATGTGGCGGGTTCGACACCGTGCTTGCAAACTAAAATAAATCGAGTAGAGATTTACTAAAGGTTTTGAAATTTTAATGAACATGGTGTGTATGTGTATTTTAAAGAACATGGTGTGTATGTATTTTAGTGTGGAGTCCAGGGCCATGTGTATTTTTGTAAAAAAAAAAAAAAATATTTTGATGATGATGGACGCATCATACCGTAGCACTCAACCTTAGCGTACGGTGCGTCGAGTTCCACGCACGCCTAAAAGAGCCATCAGATCACCAGGGATGTGGCCCAATAGGGCCGATGCCGATACGGAGCCGCGGAAGACTTAACGGGTTGCCGGGGCTCCGGCTCAAAGAGCGGAACAAAGGAACGGGGTGGTTTTAGTCAGTTAGAGTTTGACTATAGATACTAAGACATTCGATGATTCCCCCCCCCCCCCCCTTAAAAAACCGTAGCACCCAATGGGACTATAAAGAGGTGCACACAGTGAATGTAAGTTATGTAGACCTATTTAGTTCGTTCTATCTCATTACGTATTGCAATACATCACACCGAGCACATTTTAAATAAACTGAAAAACTCAATAATAGCTTGCTTCTCATATACGAGAGTGCGGGTTCGAAACCTACCAACGGCAAATACCAATGTGACTTATTCCGAGTTATAATATGAGTACTTTCTACGATTATTTAGACACTACTGACCAACGGTAAAGGAAAACATCGTCAGGAAACCAGGCTTACAATTTCCAATTATAAGTTTGAAATCGCCAACCCGCATTGAGCAGGCGTGGTAATTAATGCTCAAACCTTCTCCGTGTGAGAAGAGTCTTTGCTCAGCAGCGGTCACTTATAGACTGTTGATGATGGACACATTTTTAAATCCCGTGTCATTTTAACCTGATAATGCCCAGTACTGCTTAATACTTCTGTGATTATTGAATCCACGAACAATTCAAATAAATCAACATTCCATGCACAAAACGATTTCATTTTAATTTCGACTTGAATAGCGGCTTTGTTTCAAATTCCTGAATCATTTACCATATTTAGGCTATCGATCGTCCCAGTTCCTGCAATGACCTGGTTCCACAGCACGCTAACAAGGAACCCCTCTATTATGCAAGTTAGTCTTTCTTGACATGCAAGTCGTTACAATCACAAAAAAATGGCGCCGTAAGTAACCAAAATGGTTAGATGTGAATATTAGTCGTGTGCTAAAAGTGAGGCAATGTTCAGCACAGGATGAAAACAAAACGATGATAAGTATTATCCAATTGTCCATCAATTAGGTAGCATTGTGTATATTAAATTATCGTTATAATTTTGCAATATTACTTTATCCTCCAAATTCAATAATTAAGGTATACTTTGTGCCATGAGCAGTCTCAAAGATTAAGCTTTAGAAAACATGAAATCACAGAGTTAAATCGATCAATCGGTCTATTTTTACAAAGTATAAATCTTTTTTAAACTACGCATAAAAAATCAACTTCAGAGCCCTCTTATTGAAATCGGTTAATTAATACAATAAATACTAAAACCTCTAAGTGTAACAAACATTTTTCTGAAAACCGCATCAAAATCGGTTCAGCCAATCGCGAGATAATCGCGCACAAACATACGTACACACGGCTACACATCGAGCTTTAATAACCAGTATAAACTGAACGTTAAATGTGCGGAAACATGATGCGACGCGATACCAGGATAAACTGGTTTAGTTTAGATTGATGTGTACATACATACAGGTTAAAAAGAGAACATCCTTTTTTTCTAAGTCGGTGAATAAAAAACAGTATCAAGTAATCAAGAGCGAAGTCGTTGGGTATTGTGAGCACTTCTACAGGGAGTACCTTTCTACAGGGCGACATTGTCCCGCAGGTGTACAGTCACGCTTCGTGAGCAGCGTGATGGGAGCATGTGGTGTTTCGGTTACCTACATGCAGTGTACCGCCGAAAATGGAACCAATGAACTACAGTGTTAAATGTTGGTAGATATAATTTATCAATATTATAATACAAGAAGATGAAGGTAATGAGACTATAGAGGATAATCTAATGTGTTTTTTTGCTAGTTATGTAATTAATCTCATATAAGAGAGAAGAGATGCCAGACGGGATTTTTTATACTTTATAGGGCGACGTTTGGCCACTATCTCACCTGATGGTAAGCCATGACGTGATCGACAATGGAGCACGCCAACCTATGACTATGAGGAACCTAAGAGTATAGGAGATGAGTTTATAAAAGGTCTTAAACAAGTAATAATTATGCTTATTTAATTTACAATTCCCACCAATACCAACTTAAATTTCAATTTTACAAAAACCTCTACATTTTTATGAAATGGACACAATGTTACCGATCACAGTTACAAATTATACAAACATCAATCTATCGGCTTCTGAATGATTAAGGACCGATATGTTGTGTCGTCGTTGCCACGGAGACGCCCTGGTTCGATTCCCGGCCAAGGAAATTCACGGTATTGACCGGTCATTCTGAACTGAACTCACGGAAGCTATTAGACAGTTGTTTCTTAATGTAGAATGTACCTAAGGTTGACCA